GGGCACCATCAGCTTTCTTCACCATGGTTGGGTGTTTTCTTGATGCACACTTAACCTTTATATAAAACTCTCTCTTATACATGAGTTTCTGTGGATTTGTTTCTCTAAAGTAACCAAACTAACACACTGACAAATGTTTTAGGCTACCAAAGAGACTTCATTCGCAAATATAATTTCAGGAAAACATTTATTAAGTCTCGAAAGAAACAAAAAACAACACAAAGTCAGAGGTGCACATTTCAGGTGAGGGAGGCAATTAACACAATATACATAATATATACAATGGCGTCTGAGGATTCAGAGTCGGGATACTAGTTAAATAAGGCATGTGTGTTAGTCTGGGTTGACTAGAGAAACAAATCCAGAGACATTCATATGTGTATAAGAAAGAGCATTATATACAAGAGCAATTGAATATTGAGAAAACATCCCAGCCCAGTCCAGATCAAATCTGTGTCTGAGATTAGACCATATGTCTGACACTAAACTATACATTTCTGTTCAGACTCACGAAACACATGCAGTGACGCTGAATGCAGGAAGATCACAGACCACTAGGTGGAAAGTCTTGTGGATCCAGTGGCAGTAGAGGCATCTCAGCGCGGGCAGGGGTCTCTGTGTGGCTCCTTCAGCTCCAGGGCTCTAGTGTAGCTCCATGTGTCTTGTCAGCAAGAATGTCTCACAAGGAGGGAGCCTGTATCCCGCCTCCATCGAGCTACTTCTCTCCATGGTGCCTCCCAATGAGGTCATCAAGCTTTGATCTGATTCACAGGCTAAACCCCACCCTTTCACTCTTCAGTCTCAAAATGACAACAGATTATGTAGCTACCACAGCATAGAACAAAGGAAATGGTCACAAATTCATGACTGGTGACAGAACAGTGGGTCACAGTCACAGGTTGAACTACAGAAGCAGGAACAGGGTCATGACTGGGACACATACAATATGTTACACAGAAGTCAGGGCCAGACTGAGCGTGCATGACTCATGACTATGTGACCCCAGTACTGTCCATCAAAGAAACACTCAGGAAAGCCCCCAAGAGAGACTGTACCTCCTGGGGCTGGTTGGAGAGGGTAATCCACCTTTCAAGGTGCTCTGCCTCAAGGAAAGATGATCCACATTCTTGGTTAACAATCAGAAGGAATTCAATGGAGGCTTAAACGATGGAGGGGGTGGCTCTTCAAATGGATTTTGGGTTTCTACTGTCACATAGCCTCCTGAAAATGGAGTGCTCTGAATTTAAACTCTAATGCACTGGCAGGACTCATAGTAACCCAACATAGACTAGGTAGACCTA